GGGGTGAACATTTGTATTATTATACCGAATAAATCTTAAAACAGACATTGTGGCACTCAATCATGGCAATATTCCAGGTCATCATTAGAAAGATTTTCAGAGGCAAATTTAATCTCCACTCAAGGCAGCTTAGGCTATCTCGAAGGATTGCAGGAAATTGATCCTTACCGATTCATATTTATGAATTAATCGGGATTCAGGTACCATAGTGTTTGTAACTGAGTACTCCTAAAGATACGCAAAAAAAAAAAAAAACGAACTTTCGCGTAGGATTTTTCATGCAAACATTGTCAATGATTCCCCGACAATGATTCAATTTTATCTTTCAATTTTTCCAAGACGTGGCAAACCCTGCTCATGACCGGAGATGTCGTCGAGATGCAGGCGCGATTCCTCTTAGCAACCGGTTCTATTTATTTCCAACGCGTGTGGTTGGCACTTTAGATTACGTTTATTTTGTTCTTTTATTCACAAAATCTATCACTGGCAGCATTTGTTTTGTCATGTCTCACAACTTAATGTCCAAGCAGACTTTGTTTTGGCTGTAAGTGAACTACGTTCATGGAAGTATTTCGCCCAGAAAACTGAATACCCTGCAAAATTTGAATCTTTTATTTTATAACGAGACATTGGGCACAAAAATAAAAACCATAATTGTAATTCAACAAGTTTATGTAACGTGTTAGTCTGTTTGCCAGCCGCCTAGTTAAAAAACGTGATGTCCATTGATGTCGGCGTCGATAACTTCGAACAAGTAAGTTGGGCGCTGGCCGACATTGCATTTGCAATTATTGTATTTGTTTGACAAATTGTACAATACGGTCATTCTATAACAATCGATTGGTCATTTTTTTTCACAGTCTTTCTATTCCTGCAGATATTCTTCAATATTGTTATAGGTGACATGGATTTACATAACTACAACTTGACCTGCGTTAAACCCAAACCATGCGTACAAGGCAACCGTCATTCTACACACGGTTACTCGACGAATACCGTACTCTACAGTATTTTTTCAACGTTTGTTCTATAAATTTCTGATTGTATTTATTCTTCTTTTAACATCATAAAAACAAAAATGATACACTTGTACATGAAACAATAGGTAATGAACTTTAAAAGCGGGCGGTTGCGCTGTCAGACAATTGAGCGAGCAACGTGCGAGCGGATACTTCCAGATTTGCGCGGTCGAAAAAAAAACGGAAATTGTCCAAACTTTAACAAAGCGAGCGAAAAAAAAGCGATCGAAATCCGGAAGTGGGCATAGAACACTCTCCCAGAGTATTTTAAACTGAAATTGACATCAAACTGTAAGGCCGTCTGATTAGCTCCTGAAAGTCTGATGACATTTCACTTCCATGTTTTCATAATGGATCTGAAATGTGACTTTCACTCAGTGAAGGAACCTTTGATCTTATAAATTCCATCCTTAAGTCAATAAAAGTTAGTTGTCTGTACGGGATGTGGATTTGGTACATTACGATTCACCTGTTAGTAAATAATCTACTGACTTGCTGTACACATTCCAAAAGGATGAGTCCATTTGTTCAAGGGTTGACATTTTAAGTCCTGGGTGGAGGACAATATATTGCATTAACATACAGTCGAGCGACCACATTTACTTTTAATTTTAGTATATTTAAATAATTTAAAAAAGTGGCGTGGCCACAAGTTAGTGCCAGTGAGATTCGTAAAACCAACTGTTCAGTCAAAACCTAAGCAGTTAACCAATTCGCTAGCAAGTTTGCAAATTGGCTGCCCCAATACTATTGAGACAAAGGATCAAATTTATTGCTTCCTTCCTGTTCAGTGATGAAACTTCCTTTTCAGTGATGAAACTTCTGTTTCAGTAAGGACAGGTTGTGCTTTTTTCATAGCTTGCACTGAGAACAGTAAATACATCCAGATCAGCATATGCATGTTTTATGTTTGCACCAACATTCTTCTATCACTATGACGATGGTAAATGTCAGAATGATACTCAACAACAGGAGAAGGAGAATGAAGATGATGGAAAATTCAAATGCAAAATAACAATGAAGGTATGTTCTTATGTGCTGTCATGAAAGCACCCTTGTCTCACTTTTGCATCTGTTGTTCATTAAACCAGGGCTTTGTACCTTCATGCTGTGTTATAGCGCCCCCATACTGCCATTTTGATGAAATTGTTATCTAAGCTTTCACTATTTCAAGCAAAGTACATTTGATTGACTTAATAAGGGATAAACCTTTTAAAATTGGGGGATCAGTGTTCAAGATCATATTGATTGCAATGGTTGGATTTGTATTCCAGAATGATAATAGTTACTTGTGAAATTTGAATCCCCAATTTAAAATGGTCGACTGGCAGCCATTTTGTTTTCACTCTATAGTGATCAAATGTTAGATATCAGTTTTCAGGTTGTTTCTTTTATACATCACTTATAATAGTTTTGTGTATATGGGCATTTGTCTCTAACATGTTATTGCTTTTATTCACAGTCTTGCTTATCTGTTTTTAAGTCACTTCCTACTATTGAGAAAACTGTCGAAAAATGTAAGATAAAATTAAACTTTACAGATGCCAGGCTTGTATTTACACTACTCTGTAAACATGGTGAGATATATTTTTAAATTTCAGTGATTTTTATGCTCCTATGACAAACAAATTGCTAATTTTGAAAATTATTATCATTTTAATATTCTATTATGCCAACATATTTGAAGGTTTTCCTCAAAGATGAATTTGGAAAAACAATAATTATTGTATATTTTTAGCCTATAAACAGAGATATTACGGGGGATTTGGGTTCCATTTGTGCATCCAGAGCCATTTATCAGACATGCTTTGATCGATAACTTTTATACTTTGATTAACAAGGCGATTTCATTCAAACTTCATGCATATTAAGTGTCTAGGTGCATCTTGTATTATTTGAACAAAAATAGCCGTCTGTCGACCAGTTTGTTATTTATTCATGTCCAGACCATAATTCCTCTGATACAACCGAAAGTTTGCTCTCAAGAACTTTACTAATAATTTTATATACAGTATGTTATGCGATTTGATAAAATTTGGCGATTGACTGTCATTTGTCTCTCAAATCCAAAAATCACAGTCTGTATGTTCAGAACAGTTTCTCAGAAATGAACAGGGTGATATCATTCAAACTTTGTAATAGGCTTCCACATATTTGTATTCCAATCATACTGTATTGAGATTGAAATACAGATGGTGCATGTAATCCTTTGGTAGAAATGTACATTTTTGTTGTCAAATACTGATATCTACTACTGGTAAAACCACACTGGTTCAGTACAGTGTTAATGCTTGTTGCTAAAAATACAATAAAGATTTGTTTCACAAAATTAAATTTCTTTACATTAATATGTTTTTTTACAGGAATAACGAAGACGTATAATCTGACGTTTCAGGAAACTGAATCATTGCAAGCTGTCTTTGCTAAAGATCTCTGTCCAAACAAAATAGTTGCCCAGTCCAAGTAAGCAATATTGATTTACCATTTTCTGGATTCATGAAATATTGTTCCATCATGTCAGCAACTTGTAGGCGAGTTTGTACATCTGTTGACATTTTTAGGACATGCAAGACTGATTATGTTGGTACAAAGTTAAATCATGATAGCATACATGCACATTTCATTTCATTACCTTTGCCTGACTAGTGACCAGTTTATTGTCTTTTTGGTCCACCTTGGTGTCTTACTGTAGGTATACAGTACTCATTTCGCCCAACCTCCAGCCCGCTTCCGGATTTCGATCGCTTTTTTTTTCGCTCGCTTTGTTCAATTCGACCAGACAATTTCTGCTTTTTTTTTTTAATGCACAAATCCGGAAGTATCCGCTCGCTCGCTCGCTCACTTTCCTGACAGCGCAACCGCCCGCATTTACAGTTCATTACCTATTGTTTCATGTACAAGTGTATCATTTTTGTTTTTATGATGTTAAAAGAAGAATAAATGCAATCAGAAATTATAGAACGACCGTAAAAAAAAATACGGTGGATCACACTGCCATATAAAATTGGTAATAATACATACGCGTAGAAATAATGTCCACTATAAACAAGATCGAACCAAACATGTAAAATCAAATACGACACTGACACAGACACAACTAATATGAAATAAAACTATCTATTTTTGGTGGAGAACGAAAAATGTCTACTGTAGAGTACGGTACATGTATTTGTCGAGTAACTGTGTGTAGAATGATGGTTGCCTTGCACGCATGGTTTCGGTTTAACGCGGGTCAAGTTGTAGTTATGTAAATCCATGGCATCTATAAAAATATTGAAGAATATCTGCAGGAATAGTAAGACTGAAAAAAAACGACCAATCGATTGTTATAGAATGACCGTACTGTATAATTTGTCAAACAAATACAATAATTGCAAATGTAATGTCGGCCGGCACCTATCTTACTTGTCCGAAGTTATTGAAACCGACATCAATAGAGATCGTGTTTTTTAACTAGGCGGCAGGCAAGCGGACTAACACGTTACATAAACTTGTTGAATTTAATAATTATGGTTTTTATTTTTGCGCCCAATGTCTCGTTATAAAATAAAGGATTAAAATTTTGCAGGGTATTCCATTTTGCGAACTCTGAGCAAAATACTTCCATGAGCTGTACGTAGTTCACTTACAGCCAAAACAAAGTCAGCTTGTACATTAAATTGTGAGACGCGACAAAACAAACACTGCCAGTGATAGGTTTCGTGAATAAAAGAACAAAATAAACGCAATCAAAGGCGCCAACCACACGGGTTGGAAATAAATAGAACGCGTTGGAAATAAATAGAACGCGTTGCTAAGAGGAATCGTACCTGCATCTCGACGACGTCTTGGAAAAATTGAAAGATAAAAAGGAATCGGTGTCGGGGAACCATTGACATTGTTTGCATGAAAAATCCTACGCGAAAGTTCGTGTTTTTTTGTGTATCTTTAGGAATACTCAGTTACAAACACTATGGTACCTGAATCCCGATTAATTCATAAATATGAATCGGTAAGGATCAATTTCCTGCAATCCTTTGAGATAGCCTAAGCTGCCTTGAGTGGAGATTAAATTTGCCTCTGAAAATCTTTCTAATGATGACCTGGAATATTGCCATGATTGAGTGCCACAATTTCTGTTTTAAGATTTATTCGGTATAATAATACAAATGTTCACCCTGAACAGAGGTTGACATACAGTTCTAGCGACCCAAAGAGCTCATTGTCAACCGAGGCGAAGCACTACGATAAAGACGTTTCGTTCCCAATAAATAATAATAAAAAAAAGACTTCCCCTTCCCGACATTATGACATTTTTTTGTCTTTTCTGGGGGGGAAACCCCTGAAAAAAAAAACTGATTATAAATTTATATTAAGATTACACACAAATATTACAGAAAAAAATAATTTGCTATATTATCTATATTTGTGACTGAAAGGAGCTAGATGAAATTACAAACTCATGTATGAACAATAACTTTAAAAAATATGATTTTACTTGGTAAAAATATTGTATTTTTCTACATATGGGGTATATGGCTTGTTCTCGCATTAGCATAATTTTCATCGAGTTCACTCATCGCTTTCCCACATGCATTTCTCGTTCTTTGCTGCTAACTTTTTTTGCACTCTAATATGTTGTTGTTTTTGTCTTTCTAAACATCAAGTTTATTTTGATTGAAATTCAATGAGATTGTTTGAATTTTGAATTTGATGACGATTCGAATTTATCCACTTTTACAGTGATCAATATTGCGTTCGAGTTGAGTCTTGCGGTGTTTTTCGTCAATGTATTAAATACAAGTGCTTTGGGAAATAGCATAATTTTATATTGCATAAGGGAAAGAGTCTGATGAGGCTGCCAGTGTGTCACAACACGTTTTATTTATTTTCAACGCGCGTGGTCGGCTCCTCTGATTGCATTTATTTTGTATTTTTATTTTCGAAATGCATCACTGGCTGCATTTGTTTTGTTTTATGTTTTCCTCTCTTTCATTTTTCGTCCGGCTGCTGCCAATCCAATAATTCGTCGCCTTATATACTCGGACAAGCGATTAATCGTCACAGTCATTATACTAGTAGTTTAAGTCCAATTGATTTGCAGAAATTCAGCTATGCGATGATTATATGTGCAGTTTTGTTTTGCGCACCCAGACACGAGCAAAAGTTAACCCGATAGATTTTCTGAACTACAGCATTCGTATTACTTATGCCAATTGAGTAAGGGTCATAGTGTGAGTTGCATTCGCAAATAACAAAGTGTCAAATTATTTTGAGCGCCGTTTGGAATAAATTTAGTCAAAATCACACACAGAAACACACACACAAATACTAGTACTCAATACATATCACGATTGATTGACCAGTTATATAGCTGCTTGAACTACGCACACAAGGACGTAAATATGTAAAAACAGGTCACAGTTCGACTTGTGTAGCAAACGTTACAATGTGTCAAGTGATTTGAAGGCATCTATGTCCCCCTTCCCAATACAGAGAAGCAATACGTGTTGTATTTTGAATCGTCATTAAAACCTAAATTTATTATGAATAAAAACACAAGTTTATAGATACAATGTACGATCATCGTTACTCCAGCGGACGATGTTTCTGAAGCCAGCCATAGCAAGAGCGAACGAACAAAAGCAAGCGATGGAGCGGGAAAAAAGCGATCGGTTTCCGGTCGAAAAGCAGCGAGCGGTCGAAAATTAAGCGATAAGCGGTCGAAAAAAAAGCGATAAAAGCGGGAGGTTGGGCGGAATGAGTACTGTAGGTCCATTCCATTCAAACTCGGTAATAACTAACATTCATGTTAGGATGTTGATGTGCATCATTTTGTTTCTGGGTTTGACTTAACTGTCTGGTGTGGCCATTGCTCCTAATTTCAGGTACACTTTTACAGATTTTATTTAAATTTGGTACAAAGGTAAGGTACCGGTATATTGAATTGCATGAACCTCAAAATCGTAAAATTTGAACATGTCATCAAGCTTTTTTCTGGCATGCTAAGTTTTTGCTTAGAGTGAGAGGATCAATAGACTTGGTTTTTCTTCTCAAACAGTGTTCTATTCTTGTTATCACGCCGATGTGACCATGGTGGATTAATGAACAAGATGGCAAAAAAATAGAAAAAGCAAGTCAGCGACCAATTACATCTAAGGACTACTGGTATTCAAGTACTTTAATCTTGCAGTGAAATCTTGAAAAATGAAATACTGAATTACTGACTAAAAATTTCTAGAACCTGGTTTGATGTAGTCCTAAAACAGAGCCTCATGGATTGACCTCCATGTATGCATTCATCCATCATATTGGACAAACATGTGTCATTGACAATGACATATGAGTAACACTGAATGTCTACTCATGGATATAAGACTTGTACATGTATTCTCCCTGATTCTGTCTAGATTGTTGTGTGACGCAGTCGGTAATTTCCAAACATCACAAGAAGAAGTCACATTGATTGTTTCACCAGAAAAAGTCTGTTTAAAAAATTATGTGGATGATGAGCCAGGTAGGTACATTGCTTGTAATTTTTTTAGAAGATAGCATTATTACATTGACAACTTATTAATAATGTGTACGACCTATTGTTGTTTATATTGTCCTGATGATATATTGAATTACAATCTCTGACTCAACAGTTGTTATCACCTTATTTGTAAAGCTGGTTGATAAATCAGTGATTACAAAACATTAGATTCCCCATTTATGACACAAACACTTCAAGTTACAGTTTAAAATACTTTATTGGCATTAACATTAACAGCGAACATACATAGGCGATGAGCACCCAGACATGAAACAGTAGAATAAGTGAAATAAATATCTAACTGATATGACAGCATATAAATACAACATTGTTCAAAAAATACTATACTCTAGCCCCCAAATTATATTGTTAGAATTCGTAAGTGCAGGTAGAAACAGCGTGACTGCAACTACAAGGTAGAAAAACAGTGTGACTGCAGCTCTACAAGTACAAAGGTTAGTTGGTATAGGTATCTCTACAGGTTGAAGCAGCGTGACTGCAACGCCAAGGTAGAAAGACAGCGTGACTGTAGCTCTGCAAGAACAAGGATTAGTAGGTAGTGGTAGCTCTACAGGTAGAAACAGCGTGACTGCAACTACAAAGAAATCAGTTACCTATGAGGTAGAAACACTGAGCACTGTAACTACAATGATATGAACAATGAGATATAAACCAGTAGTGGGTGATTATCATGTTTATCTTGGGGGGGGGGGTGTCCACCTAAAAGCAAACCTTTATTTATGTTTTACTGCTATAAAATAATTCAAGTCTAAATTAGAGTTAAAAGAAAAATCTGACTATTCTCAGATCGGTCGAAATTTAAGATTATGTAGTAATTCAGCAATCAATATGCATAGCTCTATTGCAAACACTTTTAAAAATTTTCTATGGGCTATAACAAGAGATATAACCACTAGATGGCGCTATTTCAACTTTAACAATTTCAAGGAATTTTTTTATTTTTAAAACATCAGTTGTGGAAAACCTCCACAGATAGTCAGAGATTGCTGATGTGTTGGTTCAGACAGTCTGAAAAAGTTTGATTACTTCATCCATTCATGGAGAACATGGTATCTAAATCATTATGCAATCAGCAATAATTTGCAGAAGAGCACATTTATGTAGAACCTGCTACTTGTATCTGTCATGCTAATAAGATTACTTTTGTCATTCTAAGATCCCAATAAAGTGATGCATACTGAGATGTCTCTCTTACCAGAAGAATTTGATGATTACACAATTGGACTTGATACAGAAGTTACATTTTGTTTGAAAGAATTAAGGGTGAGAAACCTTCTGCCTTTTCCTCATTCAGATCCAGTCTTATATTGAGAATATAAAAACTTATCACATGTATCCTTCAAATTTCATGCCATGTGATATTTTTGATACTTTAATGACAAATTTTATTAGCCTCTTACGTGAGAATATTTATATTCATAGTTATACATATTTTTTTACAGGCAATTTTAACATTTGCTGATGCCTGTTATCAACATGTTTCAATTTTCTTTGAAACAATTGGAAAGTAAGTAAACAAATGACTCCAATTTGACTTGTATCACGTTTGTTGCTTGGCTCTCAAATTTGTTATTTTATATCTTGGTTTCTTCAATGAGATTCTACTGTATTTAGTAAATTTGTATTATCTCAAATGATTAAGTGTATTTATGTGATGTACTACTACTGTTAGAAGCACATCTCTAATAGAAATGCATATCAACCAAAACATCACAGTTGTTGCATATTGAATCATTGTTTACTATATCACCTACCAGAAAGTTTGTGGAAATATTAAATTTCATTTATTACTCATTAGGCTTAATTACAGATTACAGCCCTGAACGGAAACTATTAGGGAATATACCTGGGTCCACAAAGAACACCCTAGGGTAGCAATCCCTATAGAAAAAAAGGCCTCTCCTAAGGGGTCACCTTCAGGGTGATCACGCAATCGAGGCCTGACCCGTTTATTCTCTCTTGTTTCCGCTGGCCAGCAGGCAAAACGAGAGCAGATTGCAGTTTTTATGACTGAGATTATCTAGGAAATCTAGTGTTGGTGAGCGACTTCATTACGGTAAAGGCTTTCCATTATTAGGGGCCCCATTTTTGGCTCAACGGACCATAGGTCCTGCGTCTGTCGTCTGTCTATCTATCTATCTGTCTGTCTGTGCACGATTTCTTCTCAAAAAATGCCAAACCTTGATGAGTGGAGATGGTAATTTGTTCATGAGAAGTTGATCTGCCAAAAATTATGCAAATTAGCCCCCCCAAAACTCTGGCGGTCTATTGTGAGAGCGCCATCTATAGTATGGTGTTGGAATAACTTTGTTTATGAATAAGTCTGTGCGTCCCTGTATCGGTCAGTCGAATTGTTTCCATCTGTGTGGACAGGTCGATTCTCCTGTTAAATCGACTGAATTCCTTCCAAAGACTGAACTAAAGTGGTTATGGATGTTGTGGAACTCTTGGGACAGACGAAATTGTGTTTGCGTGGAATTTAGAGACTGGCAGAAGTCTTTTCCGAAAGTTGTGGTTGTGTGGATCGACCGCAGAGCTGGCAGTCTGCTGTTGCCATTGTGTTGAACGAAACTGTGGTTGAACCTAGCTGCAGTTCTGTAGCTCACTTGGTTTTGCTGTCGGTTATTTCGCTCGTCGTGGTGTTAACGCGAAACCATGGAGCTCCAGTTCCATCCTTTGCGAGTTACCCTATTTTACCGAACTGAAATCATTATTTTCGCCATAAGTTTCTACCTTTCTACTGTCGATGGGTCCCGAAACTATTTCATCAATTATTTTGAGGGCGATGGTCTGAAATTGGTCGATTTCAAGACGAAAACCGCGGAAAACTACAGCGAAATCTCCATGTTTGCCGCCATTTTGAATAAGTTATCGTGACGCCACATGGCGTCATAATTTTCCCATTTCACGCGATTTTCGTCGTGTTACGACTCGACTTGATTTCAGTTCAGACTATTTTAAAATGGTCATTTTTGGTCAAAAATTCTATTTTCGACTTCTTCTTCAAAACCGGTAGCCTGACTGCTTTGATACTTGGGAAATATTTTTGTCATTTTTGGTTAAAAATGGAATTTCAACTAACCACTATTTCCAATGCTTTGGTGTTAGGCATACATGTGTTTATTATTCCATTGACAACTTTGTGTGGCGATATTTCATTTAAAAGTACAAATTTAAACGAAAAGTTGTGGCATATACAGCACTAATCTTTTGTACAATAGCCGTTGAGCAACAGGCCTATTTTTTTTTCACGATCTCATTTTGTATTTTTTTCTAGACTGCAGAGGTATGTACAACCTAGAAAATATGCCATATGCGAGTATGGTAAAAACGGCATATGTGAGTGGTAAAATGCATCATTTGTGAGTGGCAAAAAAGGCCTATGCGAAATGTGTTGGTGAGTGGTAAAACAAAGGCCGCGAAAACGGGTGTATGCGAGGGGTGAAATGAGTCATTTGTGAGTGGTAAATATTATCCGTTAGAATGTGTACGGGACCTCGGAACTACTAAATTCAGTTTGATTAACGGCTGGATTCGCTTGTGTCAAATAACATACGTTCAAATGCGTTTTATTATGGTTAAATCAAATATTTACCATGATTAGGAAATGGTGTGTACATGGTTGGTTAAGATTAGTTTACTGTGACAACTCTAGCTCTGTTGTAGTTTCGCAAGGTAAAAAAATATATATATGGTTTTACAACCCGCAAATTACGGGACATGATCTCCATGAATTATGATAAATTAATTCTGCTTGTGTTGAATGACGGACATCGGGATCGTTTGGAGAAACCAACGTGGACCGATATTCGTGGTTGTACATACCTCAACTGCATAATGCCTAAGTCTCAACAAAAGACAAATGTCCCGAAGCAACGGTCGGGACGTAAGACTTGCTCCTCCTGCCATAAACAAATGCCTGTTTGGGATCCGCACATGTGTTGCCATTCATGTTTGGGCTGTGTCAGGGACTCGGGGACTCTGCGATCAATGGGATCCTAAAATGTGGTCTCATTGCGAGGTGAGGTGGAAGGCTGAAAGCAAGCGATTAAAAGCTGGTAAAAGCCGCAATAAAAAGGGGGAATCCCTAGCCGCAGCCAGCGGTGAAATGTCTGATTCAATGAGTGAAAAACCTCTCCCTCCACTTGGTAATCACGATGAGGCTCGCCTCCTATTGAGAACTGAGAGTGATCAAGAGTTGTCACAATCTGACTCCCTGCTTCATGTAGCAGGATCGACGATTGAGACAAGACCTTCAAAACCGTTCACCGACGGCGGGACTAAATTCTTCCGATGTGGAGTTATTTTTCCCGTTTGATGTTACCGAGGCAGACAAACACTGTTCCACCGCTTTTGCTGGGGGATCAGAGTTTCCAGTCACCACGGTTACCGATGACGGTAAACAGCGTATTCCCACTGGGGCACTGACATCGACACCGAGTACCGAGGTGGAATCAGTACGGCCCTTAGGGACTGCACCGGTTCAATCCACCGAGACTTCATCGGTACCGACGCAGCCTGAGTTGCTTGCACAGAGACAGGCCTTGTTGCCTTCTCTTACTGGTATATTAGTTAAGGTGACCAGCTCCCCCATGGTGAAGAGATGGCTTGGAAGGCCTGGATGTTTAATCTGGCTCCAAAAGTCAACTTCCTTCTGCAGTCGCAGGGTACGACACAGGAGGACCTGGGGGGCATAGGCTGAGATACTGCCTGTCGCTCCTTCGCCAGGGCTAAGGTCAGGTGTGTCCCATCTACCCAGGGATCTCTTCTTTAGAGGATCGGGGGGACAACTCACATCAGCGGGAAAGGGAGCGACCACTTCTTTTATAGAGGGGGACCCTCTCCCTGGAACGGAACGCATTGCGCGTTCTCTTCTGAATTCCACACACCCCCATCAGACTTGGGCTGACCAGGCTTCGCTTCCTGCGTCTCACTAGACTAGTAGCGAGAAGCGTCAAAAAAAGCCCAAGAAACATCGCTTTGGTGGTGGGCGTTTTGGCACTTCTGGGGACCAGGGGGCCACGAAGTCTCTTTGAAGCTTTCGTCAGCTGCCTGGACATGGATGGTAGTACGACTCTTGGTCTCCCTCCCCGGAATCCTCGGGCTCAGTCTCCCCGTCTTCGTCCTCTCATACTGGAGGCTGGAGTTTGGGAAGCCCTAGCTCCGTACCCCCATCTGCTCCTTTCCATGGGATCGCGCCTTATGCAGCACATACCAGCTTGGCGCAAGGAGAATTTCTGATCCCTGAATGCTCACAGTAGTGTCGCATGGGTATCGGATTCCTCTTTGGCCTCTGACTCCTTTGTCTTTTGCCAAGGGACGAGGTCGAGGCAGAGACAATCCAACAGGAAGTAGCCAGCCTTCTGGAGAAAAGGGTGAAGAACCCCCATTCATTACCAGGGTTCTATTCTCTTCCTCGTTCCCAAGAGTTAGGGGGGTGACGTCCAGTTCTAGACCTCAGTCGGCTGAACAGGTTTGTGGAACTCAATCGCTTCCAGGTGGAAACACCGGCTTTCGTACTTCTGTCAGTGTCCACAAGTTAAGCTTTTTAATAAATATTGCGAAGTCCAACCCAATACCATCCCACACCCTGGTTTTTCTGGGTATGCAGTTCGACACGGAGCAAGGGCTTGTTCGCCCCCCTCATGAGCAATGAGACTCCCTTGCAGAGCTCGCCAGCCAACTCCTGTCGACGGGATCGGTGTCAATGCGTGAACTGATTGATTATCTCAGTCCCTCTATTAGCGAGGTAGCCGATTTTTTCCTGTATTTATTTATCAAGGAAAATCTATATCGACGATTCTTGGATATCTGTCTGTTTTATTCCCAGTTTTATCAGAATCTGCTGGACTGAAACAGGCTTTGAGTTTTATTATGTTGCAATTGTTTAAGTTCTTCTGCGCGAAGAGGCCATGCGCCAAGGGGCTAACGAATCCTCCTGACTGAGACTTGCCGTTGGTTCTCGTGGCATTATGACACCTCCCCCCCCTCCTTCGAGCCTATGGTCAAGGCGGACATGAAGTATGTCACTATGAAAACAGTTTTTTATTCGGCTCTGGCGTCAGGTAGGTGGCGCTCAGAGATAGGGGCACTGTCCTTTAGTGACGTTATTTTGAAGACTCAAATGGGTTTTCTTGCCAAGAATTATCAAAGACCAAGTTTTAAATTAGTGGCATTTTGAAGGGGTGTGCGCTATGCCGAATGTTATGAGTATGGTAGTGAATGGGGGGTCAGTATCAGTTACAAATTACATAATGGGGGTCAGTATCAGTTACATATTACATTATATTCACATTTTTTTGTTCATTCCAAACAGACCTATAGTATTTGCATTAGATGGAGAGAGTGTATTTGAAGCTAGTTTTGTTTTAGCCACTTTAGCTGAACCAGGGTCGACACAGAACACAACGCAGGTACAACCAGCCCCAACAGCTAGAAGAACTGTGAGTAAAACTGAAAGGTAAGAAGCATAGCTTTTGATATATTATAGTATCTGTGGTTGGATCACCAAGGTTGTGTTAAGCCTTAGCTTCTATGATTACAAATGGTATATATTATGGTTGTACATATAGACAGCACCTAGGCAGCTGCAAAATGTAGCACAAAAAATACCATTACACAATTATTAGTTTGTGTTGGCATAGCACATTCAGCCCAATCATTAAGAGTTTCTCATATTTGATGCTGGCAAAATATGTAATCAACATCAACCATAGCCAAATTTTGTCAACCTTTCCTGTCTGTTGCTTTTCCATCATTTGCTGCTTCTACAGACCAGTCCACTCCACAATGGCGGCCATTTTTGTGCTAAAAATTATCAAAATCAAGCATTTCTCTGCTGTTTACGCATGGATTTTGTTCAAACTTGGTATATACATTAGACGTTATGGGACCTTGTTTTTCAGATAAGATTAAAAATGGCCGACTGGCGGCCATTTTGTTTTAATGAATGTGGCTCTCGTGCCATATCTCTGACTTGCTTTCACTGATTATATTAAAATTTTAAATATTCATTATACATGATGTCTTAGATAGACAGATATATTGGTTTGACGATCCTATTCAAAATGGCCAAATGGTGGCCATTTTTGTGCTAAAAAATCATCTAATATCAAGCATTTCTGGATGGATTTCGTTCAAACTTGGTATATATATTAGACATTACAGGTTCCTGATGCACATCATTTATTTTTCAGATCAGGATCAAAATGGCTGTCTGGCGGCCATTTTGTTTTAATGAATGGGCTTCTAAACCCATATCTCCGACTTGTTTTGACTGACTATATTCAAATTTTTAATTTTCATTATACATCATGTCATAGATAAACAGATATATTGGTTTGACGATCCTATTCAAAATTCCCGAATGGTGGTCATTTTTGTGCTAAAAAATCATCAAATATCAAGCATTTCTGGCATTTATGGATGGATTTCTTTCAAACTTGGTACATACATTAGACGGGTTCCTGATGCACGTCATTTTATTTTTCAGATTGGATTCAAAATGGCTGACTGACGGCCATTTTGCTTTAATGATTGGGCTTCTAGAGCTATATCTCTTAAATGTTTTGACTTATTATATTCAAATTTTATATATTCGTTATACATCCTGTTATATATATACATGTATTCAAAATGGCTGATTTTGAATGCTGTTCCAGAGCAATATCTCTCAATATGGACAAGTACTTGTTTGACGATCAGATACAAATGTCAATCATTTTAATGTTAAAAAATCATATTCCTGACATGGTTATATACCAGCTATATTACTATGAACAAAACTATATATCTTAAATTTGATAACTAACGGGGACTGTGCCATGCATGGCTTGTTAGTTCTTTCTCTACCTCCGTTTCATTCATAGTTCCCCTGAATTATGCATTTGGCTATCATGTACGTCAGCTCTAAACCTGATGATGAATGATTGATTTTGGCCTCCGTCGGTCAATATTGACCATGGTAAAATCCTAATTGACATCAGCCCTACAGCATCGACTGTGGCTAAACATTCCTATACGAGAATGACAGTCCCTTCCACATAGAGTACATCTGTAAACTGACTCAGGTCTGTTGCAGAGTTCTTTTCGCAAGATTCGCTTTTCCTTCGCCATGCGCATCATTCTAGTTAGTCCCCGTTCGGACGAAGTCCGAAAACGGGGATTTATAATTCGGTCTCCGTGCATCCGTCTGGAGTCGTATCTCAGAATCCCTTGGACCGATTCCGTTCATTCTTTGCATGTGCCAAGTACTTTATATGGGACATATGCACATGCAGTGGTTTAGCGATTCGAATCAAAATGGCCGACTGGCAGCCATCTTGTTTTTTGAAAATGTTGTATTTTGGACATGCTTTGTCAGTTTTCGTACAAACTTGGTACATAGATCATACATGTTAGGATACATGTCCATGACCGTCCGTGAGTTCCTGTGTCTGTCCGTCCGTGTGTCTGTCCGTTCCTGCGTCAATCTGTCCAGAGTCATATTTCAGAATCTTGTGGACAGATTACGTTCATACTTTGCATGTGCCTAGTACCTTATGTGAGACATATGCACATGCAGTGACTTAGCGATTCAATTCAAAATGGCCGACTGGCAGCCATCTTGTTTTTTGAAAATGTTGTATTTTGGACATGCTTTGTCAGTTTTCGTTCAAACTTGGTACATAGATTATACATGTTAGGATACATGTCCATGACAATTTATTTCACAATTGGATCAAAGATTGCCGACTGGCAGCCATCTTGTTTTTTGAAAATGTCGTATTTTGGACATGCTTTGTCAGTTTTCATTCAAATTTAGTACATAGGTCATACATGTTAGGATACATGTCCATGACCTTCCGTGAGTTCCTGTGTCCGTCCGTCCCTGCGTCAATCTGTCCAGAGTCATATTTCAGAATCTTGTGGACCGATTCCGTATGCACCTAACCTGTATGGTACAGACTTGGTAGTGCACTCATTGCTGCACCTAACCTGTATGGTACAGACTTGGTAGTGCACTCATTGCTGCACCTAACCTGTATGGTACAGACTTGGTAGTGCACTCATTGCTGCACCTAACCTGTATGGTACAGACTTGGCAGTGCACTTATTGCTGTACCTAACCTGTATGGTACAGACTTGGCAGTGCACTCATTGCTGCACCTAACCTGTATAGTACAGACTTGGCAGTGCACTCATTGCTGCACCTAACCGGTATGGTACGGACTTGTCAGTGCACTCATTGCTGCACCTAACCTGTATGGTACAGACTTGGCAGTGCACTCATTGATGTACCTAACCTGTATGGTACGGACTTTTTAGTACACTCATTGCTGCACCTAACCTGTATGGTGCACTCATTGCTGCACCTAGTCGGTATGGTACAGACTTGGCAGTGCACTCATTGCTTCACCTAACCTATATGGTACAGACTTGGCAGTGCACTCATTGCTGCACCTAACCTGTATGGTACAGACTTGGCAGTGCACTCATTGCTGCACCTAACCTGTATGGTACAGATTTGGCAGTGCACTCATTGCTGCACCTAACCTGTATGGTACAGACTTGGTAGTGCACTCATTGCTGCACCTAACCTGTATGGTACAGACTTGGCAGTGCACTCATTGCTGCACCTAATCTGTATGGTACAGACTTGGCAGTGTACTCATTGATGTACCTAACCTTATTCAAAACTTCATGGTCACTGGTCACATCTCTACTGGTGACGTCTCATAGATATATAGAAGTGTGAGACCTGTTCTAATGTTTCACTCTCATTCTCATTCTAATACCCCCCCCCCCCCACACACACACACACACACAAACTAGTAGACTGATGATTCAAAGGTGCTTCTGTAATTTTCTTTTGACAGCCAAAAGAAAACTACAGTAGCAAGTAAAAAAACACCAGCACATGAAAGTAGAAGTTGTGATGGCTGGAATGATAGACACAATGGCTTTAACAACACATCCAATCAACCAGACAGGTATGTACAAACATATGCTGTGTTTGTGATTTGTATATAACAACCTGGTTCAGTGAGTTTTATCTAAAATTATGTTGTAATAATAATGCTATGAAAACGATTACCCAATTATTCTGTTCCAGACCATCAGCTTTCTCTGAGAGAAACTCTCCAAGACAAAATTTAAAAATGGCAGGTGATGCTGGACCATCCAGGATGCCCGATATTGTTGCTAGGATACCAGATGGTAGAGAAGATGATGATTGTAGTAATGCATCTAGTGAATCATTTACATTCCAAGGTATCTTCCGAGATTTTGATTATGAGACATGCGTATAGTATTTGTATGCGTGTGGTTGACATGTACAATGCTCTTTGACATGCGTTTATTGATGTTCAATAGATTCAAACTTGGCATGATGGCAATACATAGATCATATGTGCATTTTGTTATACAATCTGATTCATTAGTTTATAATCAGAAATACACATATCCTGCTTCTGCTAAGTTATATTGATATTTGATACACATGGCATACATGTATTGGGCAGCTGTTCTGTTCTCATCCCTGATTCTGAAAATCTGTATAGCTTGCACTAGATAGAATATCTACCTGTCTGGATCTCATGTACATGTATGTAAGAAATGGGTTTCCATAAAATTGGTTACATACAATGAACATCAAAGTATTCTGGTACACCTTCCTGTGATTTACTTAATTTTTGATTAAAAATGGTCAACTAGTGTTCCTTTTGTGTTCAAAGCTGCAATTTCTGGGCCATATCTATGACATGTCTTGGTTGATTGTGTACTTTGTACATCATAGTGCACAAACATTTGTGTTAGTTGTGAATTATTCAGCTAATTATATTTGCATTCACCTAAATACTTATTGGACATGTGTACTTACATTCTAATATAAACTTGTAGTCAAGATGTACAGGGGTGTCAATGACTGGTTTCATAATGTGTTCATCTCTGTTTTTCCCTCAGGAAAGATTGGAATACAAACGTCTGGGAACAAACCTGAGTGTTTTAATGTACAGATTGGAGAAGGTGACACAAGTACTGTTGATATACACATACCAAGTGGTGATGAAGACGAGTTTGATTTCATACCTAGTACACCACCAACAAAAAAGGTTTGTTACAAAAATATCAATCTCATTGTTGTTTCAAGATAAAATATCAATTCTACATATACCGTATACTCTTATGTTTCCATCTTTCTTGATGCCTAAAATAGAGTTTAATTTAGGTTTTCTATAGTCATTGACACCTATTCAAGAGTCCTGTATTTATTGTGGCCAGCTTGAATGGGTAAACTTAACTCGACAATTAGCTGTTATCACTATAAAAAGTGTTAAATCTTCTTCAATCTCAGTTTATCTTGCAAAATCAACTAACTTGTTGGCTTAAAAAAAAAATCATACCGTTTCCCATCAAAATCAAAGCCAAAAGATCGTACCACAACAATGGTAAACCTCTTCCGTGTTGCGTTTTTCATCAGGTCGCTGAACTGTCATTAACATATTCAAACAAGCTATGGCACCATCTAGCATTTTGACTGGGTTATTAGTGAACAATTAAAAACAAATTTATTTTTTGTAGTTATTATAATCACTACTGCGTAATAATCAACAATTGTAACACTTTGAAAACAAGTAACCTATTCACTTGTGAAACAAGACCTGACTGGATTGCACTACCATGATCATTTGCTATTAAGCAAATGCATTCGTGTTTATTCATTTGTCCCTTCACACATACATCATACATACATAGTATTATATGCACAATTTGTTTCTCAATCTGATTCAGGATGGTCGAATTGCAGTCATTTTTGTACTGGAAAATAATCAAAATTAAGCATTTCTAGGCTGCTTACAGATAGTTTTTGTTCAAATTTGGTACATATATTGGACATTATGAGTCCTTGATGCAAAATTGCAAGATTCAAAATGGCCGACTGTCAGCTATTTTGTCTTAGTGAATGTGGTTCTAGTGCCATATCTCTAACATGCTTTGACTGGTTATGTTCAAATTTTAATTATTCATTATACATCTGTGGTTGTATATCACAATAGAAGGCGGGATTTGTATTATAACGAGTCTGGTAGTGTATATATATTTATATACTACGCAGTTACGAGACAGAGTCACAACAAAGATTACTCTTTATTCTGGAATATGACATGCGCCATAGAGCGTCAGGTAGAAACAACTATTAAAAGAATTACATTAAATCACAGTTTATATAGACAACCAAGTATTCACACCATGTAAATTAACTCCGGCTGTATTTACTTTCGAAGTGTGTTCACTCTCATGTTAGTACTAATAGCCTTGAATAGGTAAATGACGTGAAGCAGTCAAGGTTGTGTTTGTTTACCATAGGAGTACATGTAATTTCAAAGGCATACTGTACAACAATACTGTGACTCAAAGCGAAAATAAAAAGGAATCACTAAATAATGAATAATTTATATGAATAAAGTGTTCCCGATAACATCATGTCATAGATATACAGATTTATCGGTTTGACGATCCAATCCAAAATGGCCAAATGGTGTCCATTTTTGTGCTAAAAAAATCATTAAAAATCAAGCATTTCTGGCATTCGTTCAAACTTGGTATGGACATTAGACATTATAGGTTCCTGATGCACATCATTTTGTTTTTCAGATCGGATTCAAAATGGCTGACTGGTAGCCATTTTGTTTTAATGAATGTGGTTTTAGTGCCATACCTCTGACATACTTTAAATATTCATTATACATCATCTCATAGATATACAGAAATATTTGTTTGGTAATCCGATTCGAAATGGCCGAATGGTGGCCATTTTGTTTTAATTAGTGCTGTTGCACAGAAAAATCTCTCAATATGGACAAGTACTCGTACTATATTACTATACTATATAACTTAGATTTGATTACTAACAGGGACTGTGCCATGCATGGCTTGTTTATTGGCGATCCACTCCGCTAGGAGTGCCCTTATAATCACTTTTGCTTTGTTATAAAATTTAGCTTCACGTTCATGTCCTACTATGGAAACAGCCAAAAACATGTTGCTAGTTTTTTGAGCGGAGCGGAGCGCCAAACAGCCTCCCGACTTGTCTTTATCCTATATACCGTAAAATTGAGGCCGCAGCTTTAATTAGCCCCCGTCGGATCTGTGATCCGGGCGGCGGATATTAATTTGGGTCGTGTCTGTGCATTCGTGTGTGCACATTTTCACGTTACCAGCTTTTTCTCACACATGTGTGATCCAATTCAGTTCAGAGTTGGTACTGAGACAGGAATTGATGGTGCTATGATGCACATCAAGTTATTTTTTTGATTCTTCAAAGTTTCACTGTGTTTTTCTTTGATTTTTAACATTTTTCCTTCAAAACTTCTGGAAAATCCGACTTTTCCCGAAATTACCTGAGTTTAATCTGAATTTTGATGACGCATACGCAGTTCTTGTCTCGGTGGAAATCAGTCATTTTTGTGTGAGGATATTGTATCCCGGAATTGTATCCTTACATGTATTTGCGCAACGCTTATATGGACAAAATTGTGTCTCGTCAATTTCAAAGGTAAGAAACTGTGCTTGTTATGGTATTTATACACTTTGTATTATCGTTTGTGTCTCGGGTTTGGTGATCGTGAGAAACTCTTGCTAACCTGGCAAGAGCTTCGCCAGAAAAACTGCCTTTCTATTATTGTTGTAGGAACTGATTATGTATTGTGTAAATTGAAAGTTTACCTCGTGATTTAAGAGGTTTGCAGTGCTCTCACCGGGATTCAAACGTCGTGGTGGTGTCGGCGCAATGCTGCTCTGAGACGCTTGCCAGACTCTCCCTCGCTCAAAATCATTATCGCCAATGCCTGATTTCCGCAACATTTATATTTGTTTATGATTTCCTATTGTTCTACGAGATGTGTCCATGCTGTTCATAAACAGCTATAAACAAGTTTAGTTGGGTTGGCATGTACTCATTGAAAGTATTGGTTTATTTACGTAATGCACTGATCACGCAATAGGCGAAGTTAAAAATATGTCAGGAGAGCTTGCCCACAATGCTAAATGTCCCAAATAAACGTACCGGTGCGTTTATTTTTTTCCCAGAAAAATTCCACCCGGTACATTCTTATTTGGGACTGTATGTTTATTTATTTTTTTAAATCGTGCCGATTAAAAAAAAAATCATGCCTTTTTCCCCACGAGAAACGAAGCCAAAATATCGCACTAAAACATCTGTAAATCTGGTCTTCCGTGTTGCTTTCACCATGAGGTCGCTGAACTGTCATATTTAAATGCTTCATGGTAATTTGATTGGTTGATTAGCGACTTGACCTATCTGGTCAATAAACACGCCTCGTGGGCATGGATAACATGGCGGATATCGTCTTGCATCGGGCATGTAACCGAAAACATTTGCTTACGATAAAACTAAGTTGAATTTTACTTGCATTTCATAACAATTCAACGAATTTATTTTTTGTACGTTAATATAACCACTACTGAATACTAATCAACAATTACAACACTTTGAAAACAAGTAAGCTACCGTACCGTGATCTTTTGCTACCCAACAACAAAATAATGCATAATAAATATAGTGAATATTTGTTGTTGTCATGTGAACAGTTTTTTTGATTGACTGTAATTTTCCAACATTTCATGACGCCTATTGTAAAACCAAATTAGGGCCTTTGACGCTTATTTAAATGATTATTTGGCATCTTGTCGCCAGCCAGGAATGTGACACTAGACGAACTTGATCGATACTGCCGACCATTCCATGCATTTTTATCGATGCACGACGGCACGCAAATCAAGAAAAGTATTGTCCTTGCAACAATTTCGCGCAATACGTCACCACTATACAGTGACTGATTTTAA